TAGAACTGGATATGGAACAACTGATTGGTTCAAAATTGGGAAAGGAGTACGACAAGGCTGTATTTTGTCTCCCTGCTTATTTAATTTATATGCAGAATACATCATGCGAAAGGCTGGGCTGGATGAATCCCAAGCTGGAATTAAGATTGCCGGAAGAAATATCAACAACCTCAGATATGCAGATGACACAACCTTGATGGCAGAAAGTGAGGAGGAATTAAAGAACCTTTTAATGAGGGTGAAAGAGGAGAGCGCAAAATATGGTCTGAAGCTCAACATCAAAAAAACGAAGATCATGGCCACTGGTCCCATCACCTCCTGGCAAATAGAAGGGGAAGAAATGGAGGCAGTGAGAGATTTTACTTTCTTGGGCGCCATGATCACTGCAGATGGTGACAGCAGCCACGAAATTAAAAGACGCCTGCTTCTTGGGAGAAGGGCAATGACAGGCCTAGACAGCATCTTGAGAAGTAGAGATGTCACCTTGCCAACAAAGGTCCGTATAGTTAAAGCCATGGTCTTCCCAGTAGTGATGTATGGAAGTGAGAGCTGGACCATAAAGAAGGCTGATCGCCGAAGAATTGATGCTTTTGAATTATGGTGCTGGAGAAGACTCTTGAGAGTCCCATGGACGGAAAGAAGATCAAATGCATCCATTCTTAAGGAAATCAGACCTGAGTGCTCACTGGAAGGACAGATCGTGAAGCTGAGGCTCCAGTACTTTGGCCACCTCATGAGAAGAGAAGACTCCCTGGAGAAGACACTGATGCTGGGAAAGATGGAGGGCACAAGGAGAAGGGGGCGACAGAGGACGAGATGGTTGGATAGCGTTTTTGAGGTTACCAGCATGAGTTTGACAAGCTTTCATGCACACACACAACTCATAGTTTAGTTCTCTCCAAAAATCAGAGGAATGGAAGCCTCCTCTGTTGCAACTGAAACATACTCACTCCAGATTGTGCATGTTTTTGCCACAACTTGCTATTTCCACACTTGCCCAGTCCCTATGATTCTGCTTCCCACACCTCCCAGCAACCTCCTTTTAAAGGTCAATAGTTGGCAGTTACTTGGCAAAGCCTCATTTCCTTGTAGTAAGGTCATCCCCATTTCATCTTCACCACACCTCATTTCACCTTTGTGGGAACCTCTGAATGAAAGTCTCGCCTCTGACTGCACCACATTCCTGTTGCTGAGGAAGATAAGGCGGCGGAAGTAGTGGGCACCATCACCTTTCACATCCTCAATAACATATTCCCCACTAAGGGGGCTCGTTCCACGATGCTGGATGGTGCGGATCCCAATGTCACCTCCCACTGACAGAAAAGGCACCTGCAGGAGAAGATGGTCAGAGGTTGCCACCACCTTACAGAAGGCATTATCAAAAAGCATGGAAACAGACAAATAAACAGATCATGTGTGAAATTACCGTATTTTTCGCCCCATAGGGCGCACCGGCCCATAAGACGCACCTAGTTTTTTGGGGGGAAATAAAGAAAAAAAATTATTTCCCCCCCCAAGGCGCGAGGCTGGGGCGGCGGAAGCCCGAGCTTCCCCCGACCCCAAATCAGGCTGCTCTCCGCAAGCCCTCCTGCAGCTTGTGCAGAGCTACCCGAAGCCCCAGCGCGACTGCTCAGTGCGCCGGGGCTTCGGGATAAGAGGCAGCGCTGGGCAAGCCGGGGGAGGGCTCCCGCGGCTTGCGCAGAGCTACCCGAAGCCCCGGCGCGACTGCTCAGCGTGCCGGGGCTTCGGGATAAGAGGCAGCGCTGTGCAAGCCGGGGGAGCCCGGGAACTCCGCGGCTCCAAGGCTTGCGGATAGCTTCCTGAAGCCTGGAGAGCGAGAGGGGTCGGTGCGCACCGACCCCTCTCGCTCTCCAGGCTTCAGCGAAAGCCTGCATTCACCCCATAGGACGCACACACATTTCCCCTTCATTTTTGGAGGGGAAAAAGTGCGTCCTATAGGGCAAAAAATACGGTACCTTAAAGTGGGTTGGGCCGCTGTCCTGTCTGCCTCAGTTTTGTCTGTGATCTGTTCTCTTGGATTTTAGGCAAAATGTTAATTTTATTCTAAGAATTCTAGATCCACCTGATCTTGCAAAACATATTTAGTTTATCTTGCTTGAATAGGCCCATACATACAAGTCAAAATTATGGTTGATATGTTTCTAATGCTCCTACATCTGGCAGCAGTAGCTAGGAAAGCTCCACACACTCTTTTTGAAAGGATGGCTGAAGTGTGCAGTCTTTGACTGCTGCTGTTCAGAGGCATCTAGCACCTCCCTAAGGAGTGGTCAGTGGAGTTCCTCTACCATCATCTCCTGCATCAAGAGAACATTAAGCAAAAGCCTTGTGCCATCAGCAAATGTAACATAGTTTCATTCTCTGCAGCCCTTGAAAAAATCATTTCTAATTCTATAAGCTCCTCAGCATTTACCTGCTGCCCAGCTGGGAGACCAGGTGGGGCCAGCTCCATCACCTTTTCCGACAGTTCTGCCTGGATTGCTTCCATACCTTCATAGTGTTGATCTCTGTGCAAAGCCACAGTTACTAGACGCCAGAACCCCGCACATGTAGCCAACTGCTTCCGTCCCTCATCCGTCCCAAAGAGCCACTCAGTTTCTCTGCCCTGTGGTACTGGGGAGAGGCAAAATGGAAAATATAGACAATAAAGAAACAATTGTCCAAGTACGTGAACAAAGTCAGAGCGTTCCAACATCTTATGTGGGCTTTGCTGAAGCAAGTCAAAGACTGCTACTCCATCTCCAATATGGAATGTTAATAGTACAGACATCATGACTATATCCTCAAGACAACTCTTTTACGGGCTCGGTTTGTACTCCTATGAATTGGCAGCAGATGCTGTTTACTTCACTTTAACAGGAAAAGCAGACATGTCTAGAATCAGTTGTAAAAGCCACCCCCTCTTTTTTTAATCTATTCAGGCTTGCTGCTGTTTTCCTTTGGAAGTAAGAAGATGAGAAACTACACTATGGGGACAAAAAAAAATACATGGGATTTTAAACCAATGTTTGTAAATTCACTAAGAGCAAAAATAATGCTGTAAAGAGACCATTTGCTGTTCTTAAAACATTGCTTTTCAGTATATTTGGTGCTGCTGCTTTAATAATAAAACATATCCACTTCTTAAACATTACTGGCAGTGTGGGAGGAGACTCAGTTGAGACTCTTGGATTGTTTAGATTTAACTTGAACTTTCCAACCTTGGCCAGTCAAGGAGATAAAAACTTACCAATGAAGATAGCAAATTTATTGTCAAAAGACGCTTTCACATTCAGGCTGTGCACCACATGCAAAGTGTAACGGGCTTGGCCAGTGTCCTTGCTGCAAAGGTCCAGTGGGACTGTGCCTGAACTGGGGTTCTTATTGATCTGGCTCCGTAGCAGAGAGTAGTGTTGCCTCTCTTTCACTGCCTCAATCAGATGCTCAGTGCTCTTGAACCGGATAGGTTTGTCCTGTGCTTCAGCACACAGCTCCAGGATGCATAAAGCTGAGCCTGGGACACGCCTAATCTTTGTCATTACATAGACAAAGATGGGCAGGGCAAATTCTCCCTCTGAAGTTCCTGCTTTGTCGCCAGAGACTTGGTGTATTCGCACCATCCAGCCTTCCCGGGAGAAATATTCTATGGCCATCTTCGATACATGTGCTTGGGCCAAGGTTACGCAGAGGTAGCGGCCCCCAAACTGCAGAACACGGCTAATTTCAGCAAACATCCTTTCTGCCCTACTCAACGTGGTCTCTTCCCCATCAGTCAGGAGGGCATCAAGTGTGCCTTTGTCCAGTACCACTTGGAAGCGCTCATCAGGAAAATCCATTTGCAACACATCCATGACCATGTAAGTCATCTTCGGCCTCAGGTGAGCACTGCGCTCCTCCATCTGCTTGATAACCACTTCACTGATGTCCACATTGGTGATATCTTGATACCCTTCATCGTAGAGCTGCTCACTCAGTTCTGAGTTCCCACAGCCAGCCACAAGAATCTAGTGGGAAAACACATAATGTCACATGCCTTGTGGGCAAACCAAAATGGTTTCTTAAAACAGACATTCCCAGAAGTCTCATGAATTCAAAGACAAGAACATGTGAAGGATTATCAACCAGAAATACAGTTGCTATGTACCACAAAATACCCCCAAATAAAACAACTGGTTGTGTAGAAGTCAGAAGAAAAGAAAAGAAAAGAGATAATCACCAACAAGTTCCACTACACAATGGCCGCTGAAATGAAAAACACAGGAGGCAGAGGACTGAGTTTTCCTGCCAATTTGCTCATTTTCTTCTGGCAATGAGTTTTAAATACCCTTTGAAAGCATTAAAACATGACAACTATTCTCATTCAGCAGCATATACAGGATGTTCCTTACACACAATAACTGGAGGAAATGGGGTGGGGAGAGAGCTGCAAGTGTTGCTTTCATGCTATAAACACTGCAACACACAACATCATTGTGTTGGCCCTTCTCTGAACCTTTCACAACCCTATAATATCCTAAAGCACTTATTTTAACCGCCCCTCCACGCCTTTATTTACTTATTTAATAAAATCAATACACTACTTGATTACAACAATAAAACTTCAAATTGATTTACATAAAAGTAAAAACCATAAAATCACGGGGAGGGGAATTGCAATTCATTAAAACCACCCTGAGATCTTCGGGTGAAGATGCAATACATAATAGTATTGATGTTTTCAGCAGGGGACGCAAAGAGCGCAGCGAAGGCGCCTGCGTATCAAGAGGCAGGGAGTTCCTCCGGCCCCGCTCCTCGCCTCACCGAGTCCCGCGGCCGCAGGTACCGTCCCAGGGAGGCCCGGAGGTCCTGCCACTCGCCGTACCACTCGAAGGCGCGCCCGCCTCGCTCCCGAAAGAAGCGCTCCCAGTAGCCGGACGAGGCGAAATCCCGCGCGCGCCCGGGAAGCAGCCGCAGCGCCGCCATGGCGAGACGGGGACGACAAACTGCGCCTGCACGGCGGGACCAGACGCCGGAAGCGCCTTTCTCGCACGGCTCCTCCCCCTCCGTTCTCTAAGCTCATTGGATGCTGGCGGAGTTGCCTGTCACTGCTCCCCCCCCCACCAACCGAGAGACCGGCCGTTAGTCACCGGCCGTATAACCGTCTCTCTCATTGGCCCAATTCGAGCGGGCGGAGGAGGCGGTTGAGCCCCAACTGTGGGCTTGGGCGGGCGAGCCGAGGAGGCGCCGCGATGGCGACGAGGAGCGTGGTCTTCGTCACCGGCAATGCCAAGAAGCTGGAGGAGGTGGGAGAAGCGGCGGGAGGCGGTTCTGGAAGCGCTTCCAGGCGCAGGTGGTTTAGGCGCCGCCGCCGCCATTGCTCTCCGGCCTGAGAGAGAGAGAGAGAGAGAGAGAGAGAGAGAGCGCCGTCAGCCCGGCGGAGCCCTGAGGGCTCTCGAGTGGGGGGGGGCTGCAGCCAGTGTGTCGAGGCGCCCTGGGGTGCCCTGAATGGTGGTCGGGGTGCCGCGGGCAACCCTGGCCTCTGTCCCTCTTTCCCTCCTCGGATGCCCCCTCACGTCTCTGCCTGCGCGGGCGAAGGGGCCTCTGGGGCTGGCCGGGGGGGGGGGCGCGCTGGGTGCCAGGCGCTGAGGCAGCCCTCAGGAAGGCAGCTTGGCAAGTGTGGGCGATGTTCTCCATTTCTAAAGAAGAGCTCCGCCCCAGACACCCGAGAGGGTCGCTCCCCCACTGCCAGGGGCCTCCTCTTTCCAGCCCCAATAAAATTGTAAAAAAAGCTCAGTGTCTTTGGTCGACCCTTACGCATGTTCACTTCGTCAAATCTGGCCTTCTTTGAAAGTAGGTGCTTTCACTGTACTCTTTTCTGTGCTTGCTGAAAACATTCCTGTTTAGAGAAGCCTGTCAAGATGCTTAGAAAGTTGAGGTGATTTTAATCAGTTTTAGTAATTTAACTTTTGTATGTTTTAAGTACAGTTGCATTCCCCCCCCCTTGATTTTACTGTTTTAAACCACTTTGAGGGTGTTTTTTTTACATATTATGAAACAAATAAATCCCCAAAGAGGAGGTACAGACCATAGAAAATAAAAGAATGGACCTCAGCTGTTTATGAATGCTATTACTGGCCAGACTAGCAGTGTGATAGGTTGCCTCTATCTGGGGAAATAGCACAACTATTCCATTGAGTTATAAAAAAAGTTGTGGGTTTTTATTTTTTAAAAATGTTTATCAATTTATTTTTTAGAATACAGTTTCAAAAAAATCAACAAGATGCCACAAATCAATCGAAGGAAAACAAAAAATCATAACTGTAACCATGACACTGAATGAATTGGGTTTTTGAATTGGGGGGGAGCTGAACGAGGGGGGGAATGAGAGGGGGTGTATTGTTTATGGAGTTGAGCAGCTGCCATGTAAAAAGTGAGTAAACAAAGCATAGCTGTTTAACAGCAAATGTCCATTGTGGAAGCAGCCTTACATCAGTATTGTATTGGAGTCTGATTACTGTGCTCTTCATCTTTGCAGGTGATTCAGATCCTAGGTGACTCCTTTCCATACAAGCTGATTGCAAAGAAAATAGACTGTAAGTTCATACCTCACTACATCTTTGTGCACTTTTTGAGTGTTCCTGCAATATGCTAATTGCAACCTTTTCATTTTGCAGTGCCTGAGTACCAAGGGGAACCTGATGACATTTCTATCCAGAAGTGCCAGGAAGCAGCTAAGCAGGTCCTTTCCCCCCCTTCTAGATCTCTACTTCTGAAAGCTTTTTGGGCAATATTGCACAAATCTAAGGCCAGAAAAAACTTAAAATTATTACAAGCTTATTACAATGCATACATAGTAAGATTTATGGAACATGTTATTTGAACCTTATTAAATTTGGGCAAGTTTCAGTAAGTCATTTTGGAGAGATTCTCTTGGAGTTCTTCATACTGGATAGAGGCAGCAGAAGAGAATGCAAAGATCATATTCACACACAAAAAATACTGTAGGCAAGTCCCAGGATGAACAAAATTTCCAGTTCAGATTACTTCTTAGTAATCTGAGTTGAAAGGAACCCCAAGGGGTCCCCCGCAATGTAGAAATGATTAATTATGAAAGTCAACTTGTTCTTCGATCACATATGTATTGAAGCCTTTTCCCAAGGATTTCTCAATTGTATAAATGTCCTACTCTGCAAGGAGACAAGGAAAGCAAATGTCAGCAACAAACCGATACCGAGCTCTATATCATAGCAGCAACTACATCTTGGCTATTAGTCCCAACTGCTCTGGAAGGGTAATCTTCAATTAATGGGGTCCAGCACATTACAGGAGCCTCTTACGGCAACAGAGCAGGGGAGCCTGTGGTCTCATAGGGGCTTCTGCAATGGAGCCCTCAGAGTCCAAGGATGGCAGTGCCACATTACCAGGTCAGGAAGGCACTGCCCCCCCCCCCCGGCTTTCTCATATGCCCTTCCTTTCTACTTCAGAGTCCTCAACCTTATCCCCTGAAGAAGGTGAATCTCTCAGAGTCCCTAACACAGTGGGGATGTTGCTTATTTCCATGTAGCAGCTGCATAGCTGTGTCTTTTGCAATAAATTTGCATATTATTATTATTATTTATTAGATATTTATAAGTTCTTTGGGAAGATGATTTATGTTTACTTTTGGATACAAAGCCCCTTTACAATATTGGGGGAGAACTCTGCTGTCTAATTAATTAAATTGTCACTGTATTCTCACCAACAGATCCAGGGACCGGTTATTGTCGAAGATACTTGTTTGTGTTTCAAAGCCCTTGGAGGACTCCCAGGGCCGTATATGTAAGTAAGAGTTAAGGCTTTTATTCAGAGTATAGTTGATAAATGGAAAATGTCAAAAAGTGTTTAACAATATTCTTTGAATCCATTGACACATGGATTAGATTGGTCACCCAAATAACTCCTATCAGCCCCAGGAAGCATGGGCAACGGTCAGGGGTGATGGGAGTTGTAATCAAACAACATCTGGAAAGCACCATGTTGGCTACTCCTGTTGTAACAGTCTTCATTGATTTGATCTGGCATAGCAAATACAGGGGTAACTCTACGAATGCGATCCGTTTTGGGGTGCCGTTCACACCCCGAAAAGTCCGTAAGTAGAGTGCTGCTATTGTGCATCCGCACATCCTTGCACAGTGGGGACATAGGTTTCTGGGCAAGAGTTGATAATGATGAAGGTTTGCCAAACATGCCTTCCTCTTAGCTCGTTTCGCCCTGAGTTTGTGCTGCTTCAAAGTCCATGAATCCGGAGCGTCCCTTATATTTCAGTAAGAACTTGGATGGCAAATTTATAGCCTGATTGGTTTTCTTTTTCTTCCTGGTTGGTGGGGCCAAAAAGCACCCCAAACAAGAACAAACTGATAATAGGAGGGGTAAGCAGTGCCTTTAACCTCTTTGGCTCTACTAGTGTTTACTTATACTGTAGATCACAAGTCCATTTAGCACAATTCACAAAGAATTGACATGAATAGAAGCAATGGAAATTACAGTAATCTATGCCCTGGTAGCCTCTTTAATGGGCTGCTGCAATGTGTTGTGTATGGGACTGGTGTTGAAGACTTCTAGAAACTTCAGTTGTTACAAAATAAATTATTTTAAATTGTATGTCACTCTGGGAATCTTGTATTGAGCCTATACAGTGATCAAATCAGAGTTGGCTAACCTGTGGGACAACATAAACCACTTACCCTTTTCCTCAGAGGCCACCTTCTGCCTTTTTTGTCCTTGCTTCTCAGTATCACATTGGGGTGAGAAATTTGTGGCATCCAGGTGTCATTGGACTTCAACTCCCATCAGCCCCAGACAGCAAAGTAGTTGAGGACAATGAGACTTTTAGTCTGGAAGGCCAACAGTTAGTCACTTTGGTTTAAATAAATAATTTAAATGTTTATTGAAAATAAAGCATTTAGGTTTCCATGCTTATCAAATACTATTTCACTGTTTCTTTTATTTATTTGAAATAATGAAGATTATTTGAACCTGAATTTTCATTTCAGAAAATGGTTCCTAGAGAAGCTGAAACCAGAAGGTAATTTGATATTTCATCCTACTTCCTTCTGTGATGAGGCACCTCTCCTGACTTTTTCTGTTTTTTCTGCATTGTATAGTGATGCTCTGTAGTGACCAGACTTATTGTTAGCAACCTAGCTCACTTCCGATAGCAGTCTGGCCCTGCCATCAGTCCCATACCTGGCTTTCCATTCTTAAGCAGTCATGCTTTTCTTTTCCTGTAGAATTTACCTTGGCATACAGTTCCAGAATTCTAAATGTTTCTAGCCTTCCCTCCATTGCCAGTCAATCTTCCTTAACAGATAGTGCCTGAGCTGCTTCTCTTTCCCTCTATTTCTGCCTTGAATGATACTTTTGGGTATGAATCTACTTCACTGCCGAGGTATTAGTCTGGCAGAAATGGCCCTGATTTTCTGCTTGAATATGTATTTAGTCCTGATTTAGCCATTCCTGTCTAACAATACATCGGCCACAATTGAATGTCACAGTAAGCAAGAAACAAAGGCTAACCATGCATGAGCAAATCTTGCTCACTTTGCTCCTCCCAAGCCATGATCCTTGGTGCTTAGCACTGCATTTGTGGTTTGCATTGTGGTTTGTTTCGCTCCCAGCTAGCCATGAGCTGAAGCCAAGGTTTGTAATGCTAAGTCAGTTCATAGTTTGTTTCCTTGGAAGTTGCACCAAGCCAGGGATTGTAATGTGTTTCTTCCTGGAACAAGTGGGTAGGAGACAAATAATTCAGCTAAGCGTGTTAATGGTAAACAATTGAGCATGGTTAACAGGACCTTAAATGCTGATGAAGGTACCCCCTTTCTAAAAAACAGGAAAAGCTGCTTAAAGAGGGGGCAGCAAGGATCAGAGAAGTGGCAACAGGGTGTTTAACCCTTTCCTTGTCTGCTCTTTCTGGCTGCATACACACTGTACATTTAAAGCACAGGGCTTCTCTCCCCCCCCCCCCCCCGCCAAAGAAAAGAATCCTGGGAACTGTTGTTTAGTCCTTACAGGGCTACAGCTTCCAGCAACCTTAGCGTTGGTATAGTAGTGTGTAAAAGACCATGTCAGTCTTACAGAATAATAACACTGAAAACTATACCTTTGGCCATCAAGGCAGCAATATGTGCTGAGATGGGTGCAGAACTGATTGAATCCCAAAGAGCAGCCTGCCTTCCAACAGTAGGAAAGTGCACAGTTCTCATAGTAATGATATGATTCATGGGATGTGCGTGGGACACTTGTTCATGCTCCAAATGTGTATGTTTTCTGGTTTCTACGTAAATATCTGCTTGTTGGGCAACACTTTCCCCAAAATAAATTATCTGACATTCCTTTTTCTTTGGCCTAGGGCTGTACAAACTGTTAGCAGGATTTGAAGATAAATCTGCTTATGCTCTCTGCACCTTTGCCTATAGCACTGGAAATCCAGATGACCCAGTGAAGCTGTTCAAAGGCCAGACTCAGGTGTGTATAAGAGGTTTTGCTACAGTGATGGTTTTGGATTAATGATGGAGCAGGGTGGACCCAAGCTCTGAGCAACCTAGGTTTTGCCAGTATAACAGTAGTAATACTTTCCATGGCCTGTTCAAGTGCATCACATATAATTATTTCAGAGATCTGGTAAAATACCATATTTGCTCAAATCTAATATGCACCTTTTTGGCCAAATTAGGCACCCTAATTCAAAGGAGCATTACATTTGAGTAAGCAGGCTCGGCGCACATGAACACTCTCCTCCAAGCCCCATCCCTGGGTGGCAGTACCGCTCAGTATGGGCCTACCCATCTCCAGCCCCGTCCCCTATCAGAGGGCTGGGGGGGGGAGGCATCCAAGTTCTGTCCCAGCGAGGACTGGAAGGCAGTAAACAGGGTCCTCCAAGCCCTCAAGGGCTGGGTTGAGAAGGGGGGAAGGAGGGTGGTGACTGCTCACCGCATGCCTGCCAAGCAAGATTATCCAAGCACCGTCTCCCATCAGCAACGAGGGCTGAGGGAGGAGGGCGTCCAAGCTCTGTTCTAGCGAGGGCTGGAAGACTGTTGAGTTAGGCTTGCCATATGTCTGGATTTCCAGGGGTATAATCTCTGTGTGTGTGATTTTTAGGATTTGCCATAAACGTTTGGGGGCCAGCTCACACCCTCCTCAGTGCCCTCAAACCACCTGCAAAGCTGCCCAACGAAGCAAGGAGGGGAAAGCGCACACAGGGTGGGGGTGGGAGAGTGGGGCTGTGAAATGCCCTTTTCCATAGCCACTCCTGCTTCCCCCTCTTCTTTCTCCTCACAATTACCCATCATGTGTTGGGGAAGAAGTGAGCGGGGAGGCTGGATGCCAAGGCACCTCTCTCCCTCTCACACTCTTTTTGTTCCTCCTTTCACTCTCACACACTTCAAATTTTTCCACTCCTTGGCTACTTTCTCATCCTTGGGTCCCATCCCCTGGATAAGAGGCTGTTGTGGATCTCTTCCCTCTGTGCCCCCCCCCACCTTTCTATAGAAAATTCTCTTCTATTCTCCCCCCCCCCCATAAGGCAGAGAAGGTGCACTTGCTTCCCTTTATCTCCCTCTCTCTAAACTTGCATCCTCATCCAAGGGAGGCAGTGGAAAGGCATCCCTCGACATTGTGTTGTGCATTGCAGTTAATAGGTTAGGAATTAGATCAGAACCAGCTGCTTCCTCCCGCCCCCCAAAAGAGGTAGCGGTGGTGACCTGGATTACAACGCCGCCACCTCCTGGTTTGCAACTGGCAGTGCCAGGCTGACAAATCAGGGCCCAAGACAGCTCCGGCACTGTTCCATTTTGGAATGTTGATACAGAGGGTGGACCAACAGGGAGCGGAGAAAAATGTGTGTGTGCTTGTATGGTGTGTTTTTTAAAAAACCAGCTCCCTCTGCTTGCACAAGCTCCGAGAGGGGCGAGGGGAGGAGGAGGAGCAGGAGAAGCCAAAGACAGCACAGTCGGGAAGGAGAGGGGTGTGTAGTCCAGGTGGAGCCTTTCTCTCCCTTGCTTGGCTGGCTGAAACTCATTGATATAAAGAGAGCACTTTTTGCGCATTAACATTCGCCAGCAAATACTTTTTTTGGTTTCAAGGTTCTGAAAATTGAAGTGTGCATTAGATTCGATTAGACTTGAGTAAATATGGTAGGCTACTAGAAGGACAGGTCTTGCTGAAGTAGAATCAAAATGGCTTCTGCTTTAGAATTTTTTGAGAGTATTGACATGCATGTGGATGGGATGATTTGATAAAACATTATTTACTTGGACTTTCAAAGAACCTTTAACAAATTCCTTCACCCAAATGGTCCTGAGCAAGCTTTGCATTGATGGAATATGGGCTGGCAGTGATGGAGTAGGAAAGGGATCTTGGGATCATAGTAGATAACTAGATGAAAACATTGACCCAGTGTATGGAACCTGTGAAAAAGACAAATTTCATGTTCGGGGTTATTCAGAAAGGGATCAAAAAGAAAGCTGCCAGTTGTAAAATGTTTGTATAAATCCATGAACAGGGGAAACTAGCTACTAAAAGAAAGAAAAAGTACCTTTCCTTTGATGCCTTCCACCTCTTCCTCCATGTTTCTGAAGCACCTTCAGGATTCTCAACAGTTGGAGCCTGGCTTATACATCACTAATTTTTATGCCAGGCACTGAATGGGAATCGAGTTCTTTAAAAACCCTCTTACTTACAGGGACATATAGTTGACCCAAGGGGACCTAGAGACTTCGGATGGGATCCATGCTTCCAGCCAGAAGGTTATGATAAGACGTAAGTTGCTACTTGTCTCTTTGTTATGTAAAATATCCAAAAAGCGTTCATAGAACTCTATAGCTTTTTAAATGTATATGTGGGAAGGGAATTATTTGTTTGTTTTTCTTTTATTATGTAATTTGTATTCTCATTTTGTACTTTTCTGTTGTAAACTGTCCTGCGATCTTCAGATGAAGGGAGGTATACACATTTTAATAATACAGTGGTACCTTGGGTTAAGTACTTAATTCGTTTTGGACGTCTGTTCTTAACCTGAAACTGTTCTTAACCTGAAGCACCACTTTAGCTAATGGAGCCTCCTGCTGCCGCTGGAGCACGATTTCTGTTCTCATTGTGAAGCAAAGTTCTTAACCCGAGGTAATATTTCTGGGTTAGCAGAGTCTGTAACCTGAAGCGTATGTAACCTGAGGTACCACTGTACTCTGGTTAGTTTGTACATTGTAGTTCTACAGATGATAATAATAATAATAATAATAATAATAATAATAATAATAATAATAATAATAATTTTTTATTTATACCCTGCCTTCCCCAGCCAAGGCCGGGCTCAGTTTATTTCCCAAGGAAATCATAATTCTGCCCTGAAATCTTTGTGGACACAGTAAGCCTGTTAACTTATGTGGTGAGGATTGTGTCTAAAATGAAAATCATGTATAGTCAAAACACATTGGGTGCAATGACGGATGGGATTGCCCAAGTCTTTTTCCCCAGATGCCCACCTTTTATTTATTTATTTTGCCAAACAAATAAATCTGAATGTGCCCAAGTTAAATGTGTGTAAGTTATAGGCTTACTGTGTAGTTACTGTCGGGGAGTCTAGTGGAAATTACAGTAGTTTGACAGCAGTGAAATTCCAAGATCTCCAATGAGAGCCAACATGGTGTCCTCCAGATGGCATGAACTGCAGTTCCCATAATCTCTTAACCATTGGCTATTCTGGTTAGTGCTCATATGATCTGGCTGCCTTGAATAAGGGAAGTGCTGCATGCCTAATATAATTCTTCCCAATTCAGGAGTGTGTGTTTTAGGCTGGGAGGTGTACAAATTTAAAGTAATAATAAAAAACTGCTACAGAATTGGTGGACTATTGCAGTTTATCTTGATAATGTTGCATTTTCTGTCCTTAGCTATGCAGAATTACCCAAGTCAGTGAAGAACTCAATCTCTCATCGTTACAAAGCCCTGAAAGAACTGTCTACCTATTTCTCTCAAGAGCACAACTTGACAGAGGCCACATCTTGTCCCAGTTAGCCTGCCTGGGTCTATGAGATCCCGTGGCTTTTGTACAGAAAATTGTATTTGAAGTTGGAGATCGACGTTTACTTGCCTGCACAGATCATGTCCAATAATTTTACTTTTCTTTGAAGACCTGTGTTTCCAGCTTTCTTGCTTGTGAAATAATTATTTCCAAAAGGCAGCATGTCAAATATGTGTTGAAGGATTTAGATTTTCACTAGAAGCACCAGAAGAATTAAAGATACACTAGCATACAGGAATGAAGATGCAAGAATAAGCATTAACTGTTCAAGTACCAGGAAAATAAACACTGGATTGATGTGCTTTGTTATCAAGACAGGCCCTTGAATTTCCAAGGCAAACCAACAATGGATCAGGAGCAGATTTTGAAAAGAGACAAGAAATGTCTTAAAGCACCTTCTTCCAAGCAAAAGCTAAAGTGACTAGAGCCAGTGGTGCAGTTCAAGTGGGGCCCCAAAACCCAGGACCCCCCAAAATGACCACACAGATAGCAGGAAATGATTGGGGCTTGCCTAACCTCCACAGTGGTGTCACTGTGACTTCTCGGGGTGGGGGGAGACAGCAGAGAGTTTAGCATGGTGAAAATGCGCTAGATGGGCTCTGCCAGTGCATATGCACCATGCTGACCTCATTGCTTCTTCCTGCTGGTAAGTTGCAGTGATGGTTACTGTTGTCTCAGGGTCTGGTCTGGATCGGAAGATTGGAGAATGCAAACACAGAGAGATCAGCTCTTAACAGAAGAGGAGGGGAAATACCCCACCCCCATTCCCAGCATTTCCAGAAGCAGAGACAGCAGCTGCACAGTTCAGAGAGGAGCTACCCAGCTTTGAGAGAGGAGCTAGGCAACCAGAAGGGAGGGAGCAGCTGGGCGATACATCAGTCGAGAGTGGGGGAACCCCTCCCTCCCCCTGAACTCGGAGGTGCGAGCGTGTCAGAGAAAAAAGGAGACGCAGAGGAGGAGGGACATTTGCTGCAGAAGTGAGGAGGGATTAGAGTGAGCATCTGCTATCCTTGCATAGAGTTGCCTGTCTGCTCACAACATGATACTGTGATAAAAAGACTATAAATCTACCAAATGCTTGTTAATTCTTATTGGTGAGCTACCAGAAGGGAGAAGGGAACTCCTGTACTTGACATGTTGGTAGGAAAGTTCTGCCCTCCTCCTGGTGACTGCTACTGATCAAATAGCCCCACATATACACCTGGGCTGACATGGACATGGTGGAGCCCACTATGGTGACAGCTGGTTGCTGGAGTATTATTTTTCCTTTTAAATGTTTTATCGTCAGGGGTTGTTGGCCAGGCGTATGCATTAGTAAGCAGGGGGAAGAAATTTGATTCAGTTCACATTTAAAGTCGAACCTGCTTTTAAGCCACAGTTTCCTACAGAGTGCAAGAACACAGTCATCCGTAAGTAATCAACATTCTCTTAATTTTGCAATGCAGTTCTGCAGTCATATAATATGTTCAGACGTATATTACCAGGTTAAGTGTGCATAAGAAATGCATCTATTAATGAGAATGAGATATTCCCATTATATGATGAGAGAGCGCTGTGCATACTGGACAATGTTGCATACAAAGATATGTGCATTAGGACAAATTCACACTAAAATGCTGACACATTTTTATGGGGATCTTTTTTTTTAAATGCAATGTGAAATTTTTAAATGCAAATGTGAAATTGTTGAGAACAGAATGTAAGATTGAAAAACAAGAAACTGAAACCAACAAATTTGCCAATCCACAATGGCAAGTGGTGCTCATTTCCATTTCATATTTATTTTTATGGTGTTTATTCCTAAGTAAAGGTGCTGAAGAGTAGAGCAGCAGAAACAAAATGCATTTGAGTCCTCTAGTCTGGATGCCACAATGATTTAAGTGAATTGAAAATGCAAAGTGCTCAATAGTATTTATTTCTTTTTAAAATCAGAGTTGGAAAACTATGATGGGATTTGTTATTAACCAGGGCCTGCCTCTTTGGGCTTGCTAGGAAGCTTTGCAGAAATTGTATTTTCTTATTTTTGTTAAATATTTTTTATTAATTTTCAATTACAAAAATCCAATATGCATCTTATTATATTAATACTAAGCAGCAATACCAATTCAAGTACAAATCAATTACATAGCCAATTATAAATCTGATCTGGCTTCCCACGTGCTGTACTTCAGGGTCAGAGTCTCTTTAATTCTACCTCCAGATTATTGCTCAAAGCAAATACAATCGATTCTTGATAAAAATCCTTATACCACAGCTACATTAATTAACTTCAGTTCGCATTAACACACATAATAATTTGTAAATTTGCAAGTGAACTCCTTTCTTCTTCCTGTGTGAAGTTTTAATTTCCATCAATTGTTCCTTTAATTCTTTATCAAATATTATGTCTATATTATTTATTCCTGATCTCCTTTGTGCCTTACGACTGTGTTGACTCGAAGTTACTCTGGAGAGGTCTCTCTCTTTGTTCTCAACTCTTCTGATGCAGCTGGAAATTCCACTTTCGATTTCAAGTAGGGAGTCACCCAATGTCCTGCCAAAGCCCTGGTGGGCCTCCAGGTTCTCCCCTCCACGTCCAGTTGAAGCAATTAATTATCATTATTCATAGAAGAGTGATCTGGTGCCCTGCCAGAGCTCCGGCAAGTCTTCAGAGTCCAGTCTCTTCTCCCCTCAATGAGGGGGCAAGTAAAAAAATTAACTCTGCAGAGGCTCCAAGCCCTTTTTATAATTATTCCAAATATTAATATTTTCCTCACACAGTCCCGTTTTTCATCATAATCCATATCTGTACTCCCATCTCCTTTCTTCTTAACTTGCTTTATTTTCTTCGGCATTCTCCGGGGGGGGGGGTTGCCGAGTCATTTATGTAACAAAGGAATTATAATGAAGTGATTGGCTCCCCCTCCCAAACATACCATCTTGTTGCTCGAATGAAGTCATCTTCCAATTTAAATCTGTACAACCTTGTAGCTGTTTCGATTCAACAGTCCTTAATCTTGTCCGATCATTACCGGCACACATCTGTGTATTAATCCTAATTAGTCTCTTAATGAACAGAAGAACTGCTGCTCTTAATGGCAGCATTGGAGGGTTACCAAGAAGTGAAGTGCTGGGGAGGGCGGGATATAAATAAAATTTTTTATTATTATTATTATTTTGCACTCAGCGTCTCCCTACCTCTCACCTCCATGTCAGAATGAAAGGCAGGTACCGAAAGGATCTCCCCCAGGGTCCTGGGGGGAGCTTTCAAGGATAATTACCCTCAAATCATCCTTGTTTGTCTTTGCTAAAGGTCTCTGCTATCGTGGGAGCTGTGCCATTAAGGCAACTGGAAACCGGTTGCCAAACGCACACACTTTTCAGCATGGTGGGGGCACCAATGGAAAACACTTATGCCAAGGCTATGACTCCTGTTTCTCTCTTAATAGTTAAATTAACCCCTCTCAACACCCTGTAGTAATCTGTCCAGACTTTTTCTTAGACAGGCATCCCTAACCTGCAGCCCTCCAGATGTTTTGGCCTACAACTCCCATGATCCCTAGCTAGCATAAAATGGTGAAAATAAATCTGTGCAACTGCCTCTCAGAAATTGCCTAAATGCTATCTTATTCTGTTTTCACCACCACCACCCCTCACACACACACAGGAGCACCACCATCATAGTCTTACACCCATATCTAGTGAGAAAAATAACCTCCCTTAAGAGAGTTCCCAGATTTCTCCTTTTTCAACATACTTCATCATATTGTTCTACACACTATTTCACCGCATCCACCTGTAACCGTAGCAACATGTTCTAATCTACAGGGAAATGTAAAGCTGCAAAGTCCTGCTTACATTTGCACAACTCCCCGATTCAGATGCTTGCAGCACACAGCTAGCCCAATGCTACCTTCAGAAAGACAGCCTTCTAGCTGAAGTGGTTCTCTATTTTAAGGACTGTCCAGCTCAAGCCCAACTGAAAGATAAAGAACTATTAGCAGAGGCACAAAACTTGAGGATCAACAATGAGCACAGTGGTTCTCAAGCCTATTTCCTTGGGCCACACTTTCAAACCCCTCAAATGCCCTGCTTTAATCGGGACATCACAAATCAGCCTCTGTTCCCAGGACTGACTGCCCCAATTTTGCTCCCCTGTGCTGGTTGTGCCAGAGTGAGGCACCCCAAAACAGGCATCGGGAGACTTGGCACTGGCAGAAGCGGCCTTCTGGAAGACCACACCAGGGGAGGAAGGGAGGCAAGGAAGGGGGGTGGCAGGGAGGGGCGAGTTTAATGAGTCTAGCCTCATCTACTTCAAAGGGTTGTTATGGGGATTAAATGAGGAGAACCATGTATGCCACCCTGAACTCCTTGGAGAGAAAGGTGGGCCAAAAAAATGTAATAAAATGAAGAGAAGAGCTTGATAGAAGAGGTGCCTTAGCTACTACTTACATGGCAGCATGATAGGGTGGTTACATGGCGCTGATAGGGCCACAGTGGCATGTTTGATCCTGATGGTGGGGTAGTGGGATCTTTCTGCCTTGCAGGGGTTGGACTGAATGATCCAGGGGGTCCCTTCCAACTCTGCAGTTCGCCCTGCACAATTCATATCTGAATGGTTTCACAGTCATCTGTGCTGCGCCAGCATGGGATCTTGAGGTGCTGCCCTTGACTCCGCTTGCCGGGCCTGGGTACGGGGTGACCCTTGAGAGAATTCCCCTCCCACTTGGGAGGCTTCCGCTGGCAAGGTGGGTGTGCAGGTGAATGCGGACAGGAATCCCTCACTGCCCTGCCCTTCTCTTCTTTATAGTTTATGATTTTCAGTTTGATACATATCAGTAATTTTACTATCATTTTAACATTTCAAAACTCGACATCCTTCCCCCTTTCTGCTGTTCCTTAAATTTATTTATTTTTATGTTTTCTGCATATCCAAATGAATGAATTTGCTCATCTATTCATCTACATTAAATATATATACTCTTATAAATGGGGGGATTCTTATAAATGAGGGACGCGGGTGGCGCTGTGGGTTAAACCACAGAGCCTAGGACTTGCCGATCAGAAGGTCAGCAGTTCGAATCCCCATGACGGGGTGAGCTCCCGTTGCTTGGTCCCTGCTCCTGCCAACCTAGCAGTTCGAAAGCACTCAAAGTGCAAGTAGATAAATAGGTACCACTCCGGCGGGAAGGTAAACGGCGTTTCCGTGTGCTGCTCTGGTTCGCCAGAAGCGGCTTAGTCATGCTGGCCACATGACCCAGAAGCTGTAGGCCGGCTCCGTTGGCCAATAAAGCGAGATGAGCGCCGCAACCCCAGAGTCGGTCACGACTGGACCTAATGGTCAGGGGTCCCTTTACCTTTACTCTTATAAAACTGCAGGTTATTACAATGTTTTTATCCATTTACAGTTTATTTGTAAATCTCCAATAAACCATTTCCATTCTTTTATAAACAGTTGGTTATCTTGCTTTCTTATTTTCCTGGAAAGTTTCGCCATTTGGGCATATTCCATAAGTTCTTGTATCCATTCTTCTTTCTCTGGGACGTATTCTTCTTCTTTCCATTTTTGGGCAAGTAACTTTCTTGCCCATCCTCACAACTGTTGGGAAAAAGAACCCCCGGGCATAAAAACATGATCAAAGACTAGTACATTTCTATTCCAAACTTTATTTAAATCCATACAAAAATGATTTCTATATTTCTTTATTTATATATTTGGAATTGTGGGGAGGGGAACTGGGCGTGGGAGGGGGGGTAAGAGCTCCGCTCGAGCTGCTGGTCTCACTGCTGCCGTTGCCTGGAAGAGAAAAGAAGAGAAAGGATTCTTAATATTTTAATTGATTCTTATGCTGATAACCCATCTTTCTGCTCCCTCCGCCCCACTGCCAGATTTTCTCTGGTCTCCCTATTCCTGAGGAAGAAAGATCAACACTCACCATCCACGTTGGTATCGGTGGACTCCATCCCCTGGTCGCATGGTCTCACAAATATTGATCTGATCTTAACCTTCTCCTCCTTTCCGTCCTTCATGATGTTTACCTCCTCCTTCCACCCATCTCCTTCCTCCTCCTGGCAGACCAGGGGATGTATC